CAAATGTGCTTTACACAATTGATGTGTGTATGGATTGTGATAAGAGTTGTATGAGCCCCTAGTAAAATTACTAAAAAAAAAAAAAAAGTTAGTGGGGTTTATCTCTGTTGTATTTTGTCATTGTTGGTGGCCTTCTTGACTTTCTGTTTTGTGTTTTTCTATGTTTTTTGGTACATGAAGCCCAGGTTCAGTGAATCTGTAGAGACAACTAGAATAAGGGTTCCTTGGTGGTACAGCAGGGAAGGTGGGGCATAAAGGGGGGCTGATATCAAAGAGTTCAAAAAGGAAGAGGATATTTTGAAACTGATCTTGGTAGCAATTGTACAAGACTTTTTTATATGATTGAACTGTGGAATGGTATGATGTCTGGATTAACTCCTAATAAAATGGTTTGGAAAAAAGAAAAAAACCAAGCCTCAAGTTGCCATAATGAAAGTCTATAGACAAAATATTAAATAATGCAAGAAGCATCAAGAGAAGATGGAAAGAATACACAGTCACTATATCAAAAAGAACTAGCTGACATTCCACCATTTCAGGAGGCAGCAGATGAGCAAGAGGATTTCCAGAACACCCGACTGTACCCCTGCAGAATGTGTACAAAGATAAAACACTGTCGTGCAAACAAACCAAGGGAATACTGCCTGGTTTACAGTCAGGAAAGGTGTGCGTCAGGGTTGTATCCTCTCACCACACTTCTTCAGTCTGTACGCTGAGCCAATCAGCAGAGAAGAGCTGGCTTATATGACGACGAATGTGGCATCGAGATTGCAGGAAGGCTTATTAACAACTTGCAATGTGCAGATGACACAATCTTGCTGAAAGCATGCAAGGAGGACTTGAAGCACTTGCCGTGGAAGATCAAGGATTCCAGGCTTCAGTATGGATTACCATTCAACGTAACAAAGTCTAAAATCCTCACAACGGGATCAATAGGCGACCTCATAATAAATGCAGACAAGATTGACGTTGCCAAGGATTTCATCTTGCTTGGATCCACAATCAATGTTCATGGAAGCAGCAGTCAAGAGATTAAAAGACGTATTGCGTTAGGTAAATCTGCAGCACAGTGGCAGCAAAGATGGTACTCTGAGGACTCCGATGGGCCTGTGACCCAAACCATGATATTTGCCATGGCCTCACCTGCATGTGACTTGTTGGACATTGAGTAAAGAAGACTGAAGAAGAATCGATGCATTTGAATTATGGTGCAGGAGAACAAAAGTACTATACACTACCAAAAGAACAAGCAAATCTATCTTGGAAGTAATACAGCCAGAATATTCCTTTGAGGCAAGAATGTCAAGACTTCATATCATGTACTTTGACCATGTTATAAGAAGAGCCCATTCCCTTAAGTCTTAAAGGCATGAAGGTAAACAAGCGGTCATCTAGCTCAGAAGCAACAAAGCCCACATGGAAGAAGCACACCAGCCTGTGTGATTACGAGGTGCCGAAAGGATCAGTTATCAGGCATCAAAGAACAAAAAATCACATCATTGTGTGCTCACCTCCCTGATACGATCGCTGAAGACAAATGGGTGCATAAGCAAATGTGGTGAAGAAAGCTGATAGTGCCTGGCTATCAAAAGATGTAGCGTCTGGGGTCTTAAAGGCTTGAAGGTAAACAAGCGGCCATCTAGCTCAGAAGCAACAAAGCCCACATGCAAGAAGCACACCAGCCTGTGTGATCACGAGGTGTCGAAGGGATGAGGTATCAGGCATCAAAGAACAAAAAATCATATCATTGTGAATGAGGGGGAGTGCAGGGTGTGGATCCAAAGCCCATCTGTGGGTAACTGGACATTCCCTTACAGAAGGGTCACAGGGAGGTGACGAGCCAATCAGGTTGCAGTGTAGCAACAATGAAACATACAACTTTACTCTAGTTCCTAAATGCTTCCTCCCTACCCATTGCCATGATCCCAATTCTACCTTACAAATCTGGCTAGACCAGAGGATGTACACTGGTACAGGTAAGAACTGGAAACATCGGGAATCCTGGAAGGATGATCCCTTCAGGACCAGTGGTGAGAGTGGCGATACCGGGAGGGGCAACAGATTATAAGGATCTACATATAACCTCCTCCCTGGGGGACGGATAACAGAAAAGTGAGTGAAGAAAGATATCGGACAGAGTAAGATATATTTTAGAGCACTTTATTGAAGAACTTCAAATGGCTCAAAACTGTTGACAAAATAACAATTTATAAATTACTAAGGGTTCATGAGGGAGAGGGGATGGGGAGGAGGGGGAAAAATAAGGAGCTGATGCCAGGGGCTTACGTAGAGAGCAAATGTTTTGAGAATGATGAGCGAAATGTGCTTTATACAATTGATGTATGTATGGATTGTGATAAGAGTTGTATGAACCCCCAATAAAAAGATTTTTTTAAAAAGAAGCACATTATGCGTGGTAAAGTAAGAAAAATAAACAAAAAAAACCCTCACTGCCATCAAGTTCATGCCAACTCAAGGTGACCTTATAAAAAAGGGTAGAACTGCCACTGTGAGTTTCTGATACAGTCACTGTGTACAGGAGTAGAAAGCCCCATCTTTCTCCCTCAGAGTAGCTGGCAATTTAGAACTGCCAACCCTGCAGAGCACATCCCCAGTCATAACCACCATGCCAGCAGGACTAGAGTCAGAGGGCAGCAACAAAGAGGGAGGCCTCAATCCGATGGACTGAGACAGGGGCTCCATCAACGGGCTCCACCATCAGCACACGTGTGAGGTCCAATCGGAATGACTGAGACAGGGGCTCCATCAATGGGCTCCATCATCAGCACACGTGTGAGGTCCAATC